TTACTTCTTTAGGCATCTGGTTTGCATAATGCAGAGAAATTTTTGAGTTCTTCGTAGAGTTGATGTGAAGTTATTATATTTGGGTGTAACGTTCCTTATTTGCAAAATGTTACGGAACTCTCGATATCTTGAAACATATTCATAACTAGATTAAATAATATTTGTAAGTGGTGAATTGTTTCTTTTACAATTGTTAAATCGGCTATATGTCGAATCTTCCTATTTAGTTGTAGTATTTTATATTCCAATTCTTCACTGTTATATTTTATAGTTTCTATGGTTTGCTTAAAATTATCAACGATTTTGTTATTGACGGAATATTGAGAGATTAATTGGTTTTGGATATTCAGTTGATTTTCCTTTTTGTGTCTTAAAACTGTGTTGACATGCTTTCCGTCGTCATAGTCTGAGTTACCCGGTATTACTTTTATTACAGTGCTTAGTCCATTAATTAATCCTCGTCTTGTTCGATTATTCGAATGGATTTTTATATTGTTAATTTTTCTTTCTACGGTAATTTTTGTAAAATTCAGAAGTTTAATTGGGGTCTCTAAGTCTTGTAGTATAGTTCGATTTGTTTTAATTGTTGTAATAATTTTGTTGTATTGTGTCGTAAGAATTTCGTATTCCTTGCATATATCGGGTTGTCCGGAAAATAATGCAGGATTTTAAGTTTTCATTAAAAAAAATCTATATAAAATATTCTGTTTACGTTTACAGGATTANTTTGATTAAAGAACATTGCTTTAAAGTAACTAGTTTCTTTTTTTTTGTTTAATACCAAAATCCTGCATTATTTTCCGGACAACCCAATAGTTTTGAGTTCATAATAATGAATTAATGTGTGCGTTTTTGTTTGTAGTTTAGCGGGTCCCAGATAAATTGTGAGGATTCCTGCATTATGTGTTATGTCTCTGATGGTGGTTCCTTCGACGATGAGGAGGAGGGACCTGGAACAATGTGAATTTGTTCAATAATTTTTCTAGGACTTTGTAACGTCGACATTTCTCATATTAACTGATGAGTTGTTTTGCGAGGCCGTTTTATATTTGCTAAATGAATGTTAGGATTGGTATTATGATGGGATTTTTCAATTATAGCCGGGATCTTTAAAGGATTAAGTGATTTTATTTTTTATTTTTGTATACAAATTTTTTGTTTTCGATTGTTTCTGTTTGTTTTTTACATATGCTTTTTCGGGAATAACTGATATTTCTTCTCTATCTTCGTTGAGTTTTCCTATAACTGCTTATTTATATTTTAAACTATTTTCATTGATTATTTTATACATTATTTCTACTTTCTCTTTATGTTTGTTAATATAATCATTCACAAATTGCTACTATAAATTTATACTTATTTTGTGTGGTGATTAGTGACCGTTAATCGATATTTATTTAGAAATCGTGAGATGCGGTCTGGTGTGATTTCAGAAAAACATTTTCTTTATCGTGCCAACGTTTCGATCTTTATTGAGATCATCTTCAGGGCTCAAAATGTTTGTCTTCTGTGTAATTGTGCCATTCTTGCGTGTCGTGTGCATCACGATTTCTGAATAATTATCGATTAACGGTCACTAATCACCACACATAATTTCTGTAATAAGCAATCCTAGAAATGATTTAACTTCCTTTTCAGTTTTTGGAAGAGGAAATCTTTGTATTGCTTCAATTTTTTGTGGATTAGGTTTAACACCTGGAGTTACGATATGGCCAAGATATGCCACTTCTTTTTTACACAACTCAGTTTTATCGAGTTGTACTTTAAAATTTGCATGTCTTAATCTGTCAAAGACTGCTTTTAAATTGGTAACATGTTCTTGGAGTCCTGCACTAAATATTATTATGTCATCTAGGTATACCATAACATTTTTTAATCCTCTTAAAACATTATCAATCACTCGTTGAAACGTGGGCGGAGAATTCTTTAACCCGAACGGCATTCTTAAGAATTCGTAGTGTCCCTGGTCGACACTAAATGCGGTTTTCTGTATACTATTTCGAGCCATTTCCACTTGATTAAATCCTGACGCTAAGTCAAGTGTGGTTAAATAGTTACACTTGCCTAACTTGTCCAATAAATCAGTGATATTTGGGATCGGATATCTATCGTCTATAGTTTTATCATTTAGTTTCCTATAGTCGACGACTAATCTCCATTTCTTTTTTCCCGAACTATCTATTTCTTTGGAACCACCCAAACTGGGGCATTCCATGGACTGTTTGAAGGTTGTATTATTTTTTGATCTAGCATCTTTTTTAATTTGGTTTTGTATTGCTTCTCTGTGTAGTTCTGGATATCTATAAGTTTTATATTTCATTATATTTCTATATTTCATCTTTTGTTCTAATTGTGTGCTTAATTTGACTTGTAAATAAAATATTGGCTAACTAAATTTTTTATAGTAATTTTTTCTTCGTCGTTCATATGATCTGTGCGCAATGATGATAAAATTGATTGTTTGTCTTTTCCTCTTATACCAATCCTATTGTGGTGATTTTAGTGTTCTGATATTTCCGTTAGCGGTATGGGGTTTTTTATTTTTACTTGCTGTGACTCTTTATCTGTATTGATTATTGGGCATAAAGCTTCATATTTATGTACCCTAACTAGAGCTTTCCGTATTTCGACCTTACCCACTCGTAAATTTGGTACCACAGCATCACCTTGTTTAATGTTCCTAACAGGGATTTTAATTATTTGTTCTGATTCTCCTAATATTTCGAATTGATAAATTTTTTGTGAAGTATTAAAATATTCTAATGGTACACACTTGGTAGGTGTGTTTAAGCAATTTTCTATTAAATGAATATAAGCTTTTAAATTTTTTAAATTATCGATCCCTAGCAGTATGTCAAATTCTGTGTGAAATTCGAACAAAAAGAATTTCAACTTGACATTGTTACAATTTATTTTTAGTTTCGTTATGTTCTTGTTTTAATTTTGCCATCTCGATTTCTAACGTGAAGCTATCTCTTTTGTCACTATATCCTGTGACACTTCACACTTCAAGAACCTAATGATAAACTTCCAAAAATCTCAGCTGCTTTGCCTTTAATCTTAGCTTTTATGCTCCCCAGTAGCCATACATTTTGAAAATCGTTAACAACCTGCTTATTGAAAAATTTCTCTATTAATTTATCTGCAATTTGTACGAAATCGTACAATAGACTTGTTTCACCATGAAATTCTGGTAACATATCTAAATATTCTTTTCTTAAGACGTTAAGTGACATTTTTGTTTATTTATTTTATTATTATTATTATTATTCGTTTAAAATTTATTTAAAATACTTATGATATTTATTTTATTTTAATTTTTAATATTTTTGTATTAAGTTTCGACTCCTAAATTGTTAAATAAATTTTGAAGTTTTGAAAGCAACTTACAGTTTTAATATTACGAAGATCTTCATGAGAGTTGTCGTCCGATGATCTTGATGTTCTCGATGAACTTGATCCGCAATTTTCTGACTGATGAATCAGTAAAGCACGAACAAGTGCAGGTGTGATAAGGGAGGAATGTGAAGGGTTGTAACAGATAAGGGTCAAACGAGTATGTAACATGCATCCTTCAAATAGAAAACTTGTCGTGAACTCAGTCTCATTTTTTCATTTGTGTAATTGTGTTTATATTCATCATTTTTATATTCATTTGAAATTTGTCCATTTCACTCACGGTTCAAATTATTTTTATTGCAAATAATCAGTCAATTGTAAATTTAATAAACAAATGATTTTCTTTCGTCATTAACTATCAATACAGTCAACTTAAATATGCAATGTGACAACCACTCACATTGTTCACCGGCCTGTATAGATCTGATATCTGAATACTCATCACATAAGATTCAAGGATTGGATCAGAAACTACCTAATTCATTCACTATGGACAGAATGCATTTCTCTCTGCACATCAAGGAAGAACTCACAGCAATTCTTCCTGTGTCTTTCTCCGCGGGTGCAGATACGAATTGCGAAATGCGTTTAACAGACCGAACAAAGGAGAATAGATAGACCAAAACGGTCAATAACGACCAAATTATAGGTTCATTGGATGTTGGATGGTTTTGCAGAACCCCACAGTTCCACTCCATATATCCAAAGTGGTCGCAGTAAAGTCTCGCATATGGTTAGTTTAGTTGTAACAGTCAAGACAGAGTTTCGTCCTAGAAGTCTTCGTAGTTGTCTAAGAGTTCGGAAAAAATATATCTTAAGTCGTGTGTACAGATTGCGCATCAGTCTACGTATAGTCCTAAATATTTGACATTTTTTATGTGAACGTACAATGAGCACATTTTTCTTCATTCAGCCTTGTCCTCCACTTTTTGCCCCAGTCTTCGATAAGCTCAAGGTGTTCTCGGTTGGTGGAGGTACCTTCAATAGGATTCGAGTTAGAGGACAACATTTTAGCAACCCAGACCCAGTGGCCTTTAGAAACTTTGAGTTTGAAACATTGAAGGATGAGACGCAACGAAGCCAAATTGCACCAATTAACATTCACCTCACAGCTCTAACACCTCTCCTCTAATCTACTACAATTCTGTTCCTCTCCCTGCAACTACTGTCTGCTGTTTGGTACTTAGAAAGACAAGACCTTCTTGGAAACCCCACACTCCACTCAAAAGACTTGGAGGATAAGTAGAGGTTTTATTGATCTGTTAAGAAAATCATTAAGATTTATGAATAGTTTATGAATAGAGTTTTTTTAAAAGAAATTTACAGAGATTCCATCAGGGCTTGCAGAGAGACCAATTAATTTATCAGAATTATTTTGGAATTAAAGAAGCTGCATGCGTTTATTGAGGAAGCTGAAGAAGCTTAAAATCTTCACTTTATTGAATTTTGTGATAATGCTTGATGTCTTTAATAGAGTTGAACTTCATCTAGGAAAGTCTTAGGCAAACAAAACCGTCACAGTCGATCCTCGACAAGAGGCCTTTGATAATAAACCGAGGAAATCGATTTCTTCGCCTTCTCTTATCGATATCGACCGTGATAAACGTTAGACTTTAGAAGTTTAGAGTAACAAACTAGTTCTATCACGACTCAAATGTGACTCAGACCGGCCCTCTTTGATGGCTCCTTAATTCCGGGGGAATCGAATTTCACCGGTGGAGTTTTCTTTTTTACTTTCAACAGTCTGTTGAGCCTATTTTATTCAGAGTCGCGCAGAGACGACATCCGACTTATTTCTTAAATGTAGGCAGATATGGATACCGCAAATCACAGCCCGCTAAGCTTCGAAATATATGACTTACCGCAGCAACCTCCGTAAGTATTTTTGACAAGAGACTTCTTAGAGAACGGTTTTCTAGAGACGGTAACAGTCTCTTGGATCTGTGTTTGCGAAGCCTTCCTCTCGTCAACACTCCTGTCAATGAGTTTCAACCTTCAACTGTTTCTTGCTTCTTTTCACTTACTTTTGTAAACATTAATCGGCTTTATTCTCATCTTGTTTCAATTTTTCCAAATATATCGGGCTTGAAATAGGCCAAAAAAGTCGTTTACTCGTTATTGCAATTATACATTTAGCAACTTTCAAACTGCTTTCGATACTATTGATCATAACCAGTTAATGGGTGCCATGCTTCACCACCACCTTGAACAATTTCTTCCTCGTGAAGTGAAGGGATATGTTAGAAAAATGTGGTCGGTATTGGCTACAATTGTGTTATCACAAGTGCAGGTGTTTTGGTCGGCTAAACCAATTTTAAACACCACCGACAACGAACTAAGAGACATTAAAGACTCTGTCAATAGATAGTAATCTTCCACTCGACAGAACAGACGAGGAGTAGTGTTGTCTAGACTGAGGATAGGCCATACTTGTTACACACATGGCTTCCTCATCGTCAAAGAACCACACACACTCTATAATGCTTGCCATGTAACAATACTGTGTTTTAACAGAATGTGGTCATCTTAAAACAAATTGAGATTCTGTCAATCTTTCAAATTTAAAAGATATATTGAGAGATAAAGCTCCTGTTTAGATAGATTGTATAAATTTCTTAAAATATCTAACCTACTTAAGGTAATATAAATAAGTAAATAACCCAATAGATAAATAAAGCAGTAAAATAAGTAAACAGGAAAATTAAAAATAAGAATAAAGATAACAATAAATAAATAAAACTATAAGACTATAAAGCCTCAGATAATTTTAAATTAACTGTAAATTAAATGAAAACTAACTGTAAGTTCAAAAACAGTCACACAGTCCCTATAATCTAATGAATCATTCACTAATAAGATTCAAATGAATATAATAACATGGGTGGGGGATGTATTGTGGGTGGTGATTAGGGATGGATCCTTATCAGTGAAAGAGTAAGCATACCAGAAGGATTCACGAATTGCCATGGTTTCGGCTGTAAATATTGAACACGACTTAGGCTTCAAAATCTTGAATAATTATTAACCACCACTAAAAACACAGCTCCCACACTACATTAGAGATTTAGTGCAACATTTAGTTTTTATAAATTTTAAATTTAACAGTTGTTGAAAGTTTTTTTTAAATTAAAAATTAAATTGAGTTCTATAAGGGTGCATTCTTAAAGGAAATTTAACACTCTTTTCAATGTCTTTGTTTGGATTTCCCCAAAATTGAATGGTTCAAGAGCTACAAGTAGATTTATGAAAAAACTGAAGATAATTGAAAAAACATGAAATGTTGAATATCTGCAAAAGGATTGAGAATCAGACCATCCTGTTCAGACACTTATCTTTTTTTCTTTTTCTTTTTTAATTTAAATGATGCTGCCATCTTGCAGATCAGTAGGGAAACTGTAGCAAGAAAGGAAATTTATTATCCTAAAATAAAATGTAATGTAAAAAGAAGCAAAATGTAATGAGTTCTCTTTTCAACCCTAAATATTTATTGTAATATTTCTAAAATAAGTATTGTAGCATACGTGATAGTCCTCCAGGCCGGATTCTCATTTGCCTAGAAGAAATAGTGAAAGAAACCACCGAGAAAAGGGTGAGTCTCCTAAATTCATATGAATGAAAGTGGCCATTAATTTGCTGCACTTTCCCTTCATATCCTTAACCCCAAATCCCAATCACTATAAATACCAATTAATAAGCACTGGTTTTATATCCTTTATTGGGAAGTAATTACTTACATAAACTACCTCATAATTCCAGATAGCATAACTGAGGAAGTTGATATTAAAAAACTTCATTTTCAGAGAAGTATAGATAAAACTTATTTAACACGATTTAAGACATTTTTGCATTCTCCTGATCTCAATAAGGACGATAAAAATTTAATTAAAGTAAAATTGGAAAAAATTGAGCCTCTGTGGACAGAATTTGGTATTATACAAACGGAAATAGAAATAGTTAACCCTAAAAATGAAACAGAATTAATTCAAAGACAAGATTTTGAAAATGAATTTTGTAGATTAGTTAGCAGGGCTAGGACACTAATAGTAACTAGTAGTACAGATAGTAAAGAGTCTATTGTTAAGTAACACATCATGGAAGTTAGGCTTTGGGATATGTTATTACTCTCTTTCAATGGAAAGTATAAGATATCTATGATAGATGGAAGAACAGATTTAGCACCTATTCAAAAGTATTTAAAAAGAGCATTACTGGATGATGCAGCTTCAGCTTTAAAAAGTATGGAATAAACAAATGATAATTATAACTTGGCATGGGAGTTGGTTGAAGAACGCTATTATCATAAAAGGCATATTGTATTTATGCATATAAAAGCAATCCTTATCTGTGAAAAGGTGGAAAAGGCTTCAGCTAGTAAGTTGCAGAATATTGTAGATGTTACTTTAGCCAATTTAAGAAGTTTTAAGCTTTAAAGTTCCCTAATGACCACTGTGATCCACTTTTATTTGTGATTTTAGGCAGAAAATTAGATCCTGGAACACGTCAAAACTGGGAAAGTGTAATTAATGGAAAGGAAGTTCCAACCCTTAGTCAATTGAAAACTTAGAATCTATTTACAAGTATAAGTGTACCACAATAAAAGATGATTTCAAACAAAATAGAAATAAATAAAAAAAATCTGCATTTACCTAATCATGATTAAGATAAATTACAGTATAAAGGCACATGTGCTTATTGTGGGAAACCTCATAAAATTTATATCTGTAGATTCTTTATATCCGGATCGTTGCAAAACAAGTTACTGTGAGTAGGAACTATCTTTTTTAGAAAGGATTACATTATAAAATCTCGATTTGAGCCATTTCAGACTAAGCTAGAATTCTTGGTAATTCCAAGGGTTACCTTACCCATACCAGACATTAGTATAAATACCATCGATTGGGATATTATTTCTAATCTGTTTCTTGCAGACCCTAATTTTGATAAATTTGGTCCAGTTGACAATTTTTCTGTATTCTAAAGGGTCAGCAACTATCTTTGGGGAAGAACTTGCCAAAAATACAACTCGCAACCGTTGGAGGTTTGCAAACATTCTAAAGAGGAATTAACACAAGATGTATCTGTAGCAGCCTGTAGTCAAATCGAAGAAGAGTTATGCAAGTTTTAGGAGATTGAAGAAGGGTTTTTACATCCGAATCTGACTTCAGAAGAAAAGGCTTGTGAGAAACTGTTTCAAGAAACAACAATGAGAGATTCAGATGGTTGATTTGTAGTGAAATTGCCAACTAAAGGTTAACCAGTTGGGATATTGTAAAGCAATGGCAATGAAACGATTTTTCTTACTTGAGAAAAAATTGGATAAAAACAAACATTTAAAGGCTGCATATAATGAAGAATGTGGCAGCTTAATGGAAGAATGTATAAAGCTAAAGCACATGGAAGTTATTAAAACACTTAATGTAACAGATGTGCCTACATATTACATGCCCCATCTTTGCGTCCATAACATCCACAGCTCAACAACAAAATACCGTGTTGTTTTCGATGCTTCTGCTAAGACTACAAGTGGGCTTTCTCTTAATGATGTTTTAATGGCCGGCCTTGTAATTCAACAGGACTTAGTTTTAATAATACTTAGATTCAGCTCTTATAAATATGTAAAAACTGCTGATATCACAAAAGTGTACAGGCTGATTGAGAGTTCAGAAGAGAATAAAAATTTGCATAGAATATTTTGGAGAAAATGTCCTAATCAACCACTTATAGAGTATCAGTTAAATATTTTTACCTATGGAACTGCTCCACCTTCGTTTCTCGCTATGCGATGCCTACAACAAGCTGCTAGAGAACAAGAAGATCAATAACCCTTGCAGTCAGATCAATCCTCCAAGATTTCTACATGGACATCAAGTAACGGTTGCAATGATATAGAAAATCTCAAATTAATTCAGGAAGAGGTTATAAAGACACTTGAGAGCACTCATCAGATATGTGCAAACATAATACTTTGTTGAAAATATTTCCCATCTGCATTCTCATGGGGACGTTCATGCTAATAGTAAACTGCTGACATTGAGCCCCTTTCTGGATAAGGATAACGTCATCAGGGTAGGTGGACGATTGATAAGGCTCACATCTCCGATAATCAGAAGCATCCTATCTTATTACCTAAAGGCCATCAAGTAACTTTATTAATCAGAAGATGGGAGCATATTCATTCGTAATCTTCATTACTCTTGTCTTCCTTGCGATTAAGATTTTGGCCATTGGGAGGAAGAGATCTTGTAAGAAGAACCTACAATGCCGTATCACTTGTTTCAAGGCCAAACCTAAAGTTACCCATCAAAAAATGAGCAATTTACCGTATGAACACCTGAAGGTTGGTCGACCTTTCCTCAATACAGGAGTGGATATCTGCAGCCCATTTACAATTAAATCGGGTACCATTAAGAATACAAAACTACAAAAGACTTATGTTGCTATTTTTATCTGTCTCATTAAAATTTGTTCATATGGAGCTCGTTAATGATATATCAACACAAAGCTTCCTAGCTGCTTTAAAGAGAATTTTTGCGAGGAGACAAAAGGCAAAATTATAATATCAGATAATGGCACGAATTTCATAGGAGCAGCTCATGAATTGAATCATTCAATCTGCAGAGCAAGACAAGACCCACAAGTAGCGAACTATTTAACCGGTGAAAATATTACCTGGAAATTCATTCCCCCCATGCAAGCACCAGAATTTGTGGTTTTTGGGAAGCAGCAGTAAAATCTTGTAAATTTCGCTTTAGAAGAGTTGTGGAAGACAAAATTTCCACTTTTGAGAAACTAATGACATTTCTTGTATTAATAGAATCACTCTTAAACTCCCGACCTATCCTTGCACTTAGTCCTAGTACCAATGACCTTGCACC